GCTGCAAAATTGGCATTGCATTTCCAGGAGATGGATTGTCATGTACATGCAGTAGATTTAAGTCCACCACCCTCAATATTCAAAAATAAGTTTTGCCAATGTACACACTCCCATGCAGACTTGAGAGTGGTGTCACTCTTTTAAGAAAGTAAGCGTGCGAGGCTCTAAAATTGCTCACGCACCATTTTTGCATCATCTCGCGCCAATTTTCTTGTCCAATCCATCCTTTTGCTCACTCAATCGAGCTCGATTGAGGCAGTGGAAAACAATTCCTCCTTAGCCCCATGCATTTTTGAAGAACTGGTGGAATGTACGTTTGGATCCCATTTCCAGTGGCTCTAACCGCATTGAAATGATAGTGCTGACAGTGGTGATTTGCGTCAAATCACAGCAACTCGGAATTGCGGTTCATTACAAAGCCCAGGGAAGAACATTAGCAACATTTATATTTTTCAACTTCTCCCCAGTTGCCCTTTAAATATGTGTTCTTGCCATTGTTCCACTTCTTGGAAGGTCTATTTCTAACTCAGCAAATGGGAAAGTAAGAGCAAATACATAATACAGCATGTGAGGTTCACAACTTTACATTGACACAAGCTGGTGCATTTTTTGGGAGCACAGTAGCCCAAGGAGAAGACTGTTTGTGGGCTATGCTGAATATTTTAGCACCCCTGCATATTGTTCTTGCACCAAATTTGTTGTTCATCTTAAAATGCCCGTGGCGGCTTCATCTTTCAAATTGCTTCCCCCGTCGTGACGACCGGCTTCACTACAATCATTTACATATGGCAATCGCTGCATTATTAAAGCCATGCCAGACGCGAAGCCACGGGAACATGCACTTCCCTTTTCACACACTACTGTTCGAAGACGACGGGCTTAGGGCTACTCTGCTTACTCACTTGGCAGAGAAAGCACTCAAACCTTCATTCTACACAGCACTACATGGCACAAACAAGCTTATAGCATGACAAAAGTCTGCAGTGTAACTTAGACAGGGCCTCTGCTTATTCCATCCAAGTAGTGAACACCTTTTTACATTAAAAAATATTTATTGAACAATCAATTCTACATTTACTAAATTATTCTCAAGTGTCCATCTCCACTGCCGGTTCCGTATTTTGAACATTCCTTTTCAGTTTGTCACTATTTCAGGTCATTAGTGTAGTAAGACGAAAGCTTTCATGTCCATTTTGTGACTTAATTAGCATGTGCAGCTTCTATTTTCCAATTATCTTGAATTATTTGAACATTACAAAACAGCTAAAATGCCCATTATGGGCATAAACCAGGATTCTCAGGCACCTGATTATCCAAGAAAAATGTACCAATCTACCAACACAATGCAATGCATGGAATAGTTTAGTCAAGTAAAAAGTAGGTGTTCACTCACAAGGCAAGAAAACCAATTATTGAGGCTTTCCCAGGGTGCGTCTGTCTTCATTTGGCTGACAAGGGTGTCAGGCGAGTTCAGGAAAGTGTATCAGAACAAATCGTCTAATGAGAGCACGGAGTAGATGTTACAGCTTGAATATGAGACACGCAGCAAAGTCAGAGGTGTTGCAAAATGTCATACTACCGTAATGACTGACAGTTGAAATTGATATAAACGCTTGGACAGCAGGCATAAAGACGACATCCGGCAAAGATGTCGAGAAAGCAAATTAGCAAGATACATTGTAGCACTCAATCATTTTCCTGTCAGTGTATTACACCGAGTGCTGTCTTGGCCAGTTCACCAAGTCAATGTATTGCTGTGGGTCATGCTTAATAATGGCATGGGAAGAATGTTTGACTGCTCGACAAACATAAACAGCCCCCTTCCGCCAGTGTTCTTCCATGCATCACTCGTTACCGCCTGTATTTTTTGTGCGTCTGTTTCCTCCATCCCTCATATTTTTCTTCCTCTCTTAGCCTCCCTGGATTTTACGTCAAAAGTGTGGGTCCTTCCTTTTGTCTGCATCACTGTGCCTCGCATGCATGCATCTCAGAGTCAAATCCTGATGTGTTCTAACAGCATGAAGCCGCACAGTGGCCCGGGCTTGACTCGCGAGATGATAAAACGAAGGGGGATGACTTATTAGTGCACAGTTAACATGGATGGACACTTGATTTACTCTCATTACATCAATATGCTACCTTTTTTGCTAAATATACTGGTGTAGTGAGAGCTAAAAAGATCCATCCATCCATTTTCTGATCCGCTTTATCCTCACAAGGGTTGCTGCGGGTGCTGGAGCTGATCCCAGCTGTCTTCGGGCAGTACGCGGGGGACACCCTGAACTGGTTGCCAGCCAATCGCAGGTCACACATAGACGAACAACCAGCCGCGCTCACAATCACAACTTGGGACATTTTTGAGTGTTCAATTAACCTGCCATGCATGTTTTTGGAATGTAGGAGGAAACCGGAGTACCCGGAGAAAACCCACACAGGCACGGGGAGAACATGCAAACTCCACACAGGGAGGCCGAAGCCGGAATCCAACGCTGCACCTCTGCACGGTGAGGCTGACGCGCTCGCTGTCGACCACCAAGAATTCATTTGCAGTATTAGACAGGTACCATAATTGTGCTTATTTTTCTGGTAGCATTTGGCTGTGATTGCACTGCACTGCCTCATACTGACAGCTTTTTCGAGCTGTTTTGTAAGCTCGCTTAGCTAGTCGGGTCAACATAGCGCAAATTCAGGAATTAGCTCACGGAACTTTGCACATTGAGCAGGTCTAGGAACCACACCGGGTACATTACAACACTCTTGTTTCACATGTGTAAATGGCAAATACGAACTACTTTTTCAACATCAGCGAGTGGCAGGAAATTGCAATTTTTCTTTGATATTTCACAAGTTAATAAAACACCGTTGACACTTGTACTGTAAATATAGAATAGATCCTGATCAAATGTAATGCAAAGATTTCTTTTGATACTGCTTGGGGTTATTCCAAAGCCATCTTGAACAGTTACAGTCGAACTTCGGTTTTCATATGACTTGGTTTGTGACCATTTTCTTTTTCATCTAAATGTTGTCTCAGTTTTTGTGAATCCGCTCGCTTTTTTGTACAAAAATAATGTGTGACTTGTCCATTCATTTCCCTTAACAACCCATGGCCATAACCTTCCCAGTCTGCTCAAAACATTGAGGCAACACATGTAACGCATACTTTTTAAAGTCAGACCTTCAAACTAAAAGCATGCAGTATTACTGAAAAAAAAAAAAAAATCACCATAATTTTCTTGGACTTATTTAAAATCCATCCATTCAACAGTTGCACTCAATGATAAACAAGCACAAAATAGGTTGAGTGGATTGCTGAATTAGTCAGAATGTGGTCCAAAACAAGTGACTGACTTTTGATAGGTTGAGGCACAATGCCGCACCAATGTTTTGCCGGACAGACAAGAGAGGCTTGCTATTGACTGGAGTTGGTCATAAAAGCTGGCAGTGTGGAACGAATTGCTATCAGCTCTAAAACGAATTGCTATCCGTGAACCGTTTTTATACAATATGACAGCAAGTTCCAAGTGCCGGGCATTTAATAAAGAAACACTGTTGAATTCAATAAAGAACTCTGAATGTTTTCTTCCAGAGTAAATATTCTCATCCTTTTCAAAGGCTAAGTTATGCATGAAGTCTTTTTTAAAATGAGAACTTTCATTCCTCAGAAAATCGCTTCTTGACATCGAGTCTTCGCTAAACCTAAAAGTCATGTTAAATGTTCATTCCTCCACGTCGTTAGTCATTTATATTTATTTCACACTGGGTTTTGTATGTAAAGCTGTAGTTATTTTCCATAAAATGTCTAATTTGTTAAGATTTTGAGGTGTCTGGATTGGATTACCGGTAATTGGATTTACATGATATCCTGTAGGAAGTATCGGTGTGGATTTGGTACAATTTGGTTTTATTAAAACTTTCTGAAAAGGATTAATCAAGAACACCATGATTCCATTATGTATCATTATCATTCGCTGTAGAAGCGCTCCAAATCATTTGGCAGTAAATATAAAATAATACCTCTTTGACAAAGTATATCATCTAGGCCTGCATGATATTGGAAAAAACATGCGATATGCGATATGCATGCTGACTCGAGCGATAATATTGTGATATTTTACAAAAAGAAATGACATTTTTATCACTTCATGAAAGAAGTAGTTTTTTTCATGCGGCGAAATAAGCAATGTGTCCTTCGCTACCGGTAATTAATTTAAAGTCCCCGAGATAATGTCCAACTATTGAGTGGCAACGCGCATTTAAATTTGCGTCTGGCTGGTCCAATTCAGAGAAAAGCATAAAATTCCATCAGAAAATTATTGTAATACATATATTACAAAGGCCATTACCACGACGTCGATATATATTTTTTTAATATATTGTGCTGCCCTAATGCCAATATTTGCATCATATGACTTATTTTGTGGAACAACGGCCTACCAGGCAGCCAGTGACAGTCAAAGGAAGACATTCGTCAGAAAGACACTAGGTTAGCATGACCCAAAGCGACTTTTGTGCAGCAGTTGGAGGCCACTTGTCTCTTGCTCACAGCGGTCCACGATATTACTAATCTAAACATCGCTGTGTGATAAAGTAATTTCTTCTACCTACTGTCTTGCTCAAGGGTAGTTTACAAAAAAGAGCAGCAGCCTTCGATGATTTTTTCCCCCCCTTCTGACTGCTTCAGAAACTAATTATCAGCAGAGAGGGACAGAGTCGTGAACGAACACTTTAAAATGTCTTGCGAAGCTAGAAACAGGTCAACCTATAAAATTGCGCTATTTCCACAGAAAACCACTCCACGTAATCATCCATATTGAATAGGGCAGTGCTGCGACCCCTAACAAAAACCTCACAGTAACTCCAAGTCATAATGGAAGCATAGCTAAACGCGTGAGTGAAACAATGGTGTCTATGGAAGGATTATGTGCCATCATCCAGCCTCCATTCCTGTTCTCGGGGATAAGAAATGTGACTCACAATTGCTTTTGTTCTGTTTGCAGTTGAATTACAGCCCTGGATTGCTGGAGAATTTCCCAGAGTAAATATTCTCATTACTTTCAAAGGGTAAGTTATGCATGAAGTCCTTTTTTAAATGAGAAGTCTCATTACTCGGTATGCTCATTTCACACTATGTTCTCTTCAGTAAAGAAGTTTGTCTTGAGCGAGAGTTAGAGCATGAGTTAGATGCATATTTAGGTTTTATGTGCCTGTTGCTTTATGTGCACACTTGTGTTGCTCTTACCATGTAAAATAAATGGGAGCCCAAACCCAAACTAGCCTATAAAACCTCAGATAAAGGCGCAGCAGGATGGAATGGAGAACATATCCCTTTGCCTTTGTTAATATGCTAGCTGTCGTCTCCTTCCTGGCCAGCTGAAAGACGACAGAAACGAAGACAATTTAATGTGAAATTAAGTGATGCTGAAGCTGAGATAGCAATCAGGGTAGAGCGCAGCTGCCTGCAGAGACATCTCAGGCTCGGCGTTCGAGATCAGCCATTAGCCTCCTATTAATGGCGTGCGCCTCATTATGAAACTGGCTCTTTTCTCCAGCAGTCACGACAAGAAAGACGCAAACTACCTGGCTCATAAAGCCGCTTGTTTCAGGTGTCTGCTTGTGTGTTTGTGTGACTGCAGGTGCATGTGTGCACATGTTGGCATGGCGATGCTTCAGATCCCGGCACTCCCCAAAGCCTAGACTGCATTCAAACAAGGCTCTAACAGAGATATTTGTACACAATTAGGCAACAATGCACACACACAAACTTCTGCACAGATATGGCTCAAGTCTTTAAAATGCAAATGATGTCACGTATTTCAGATGAAAATACATGGAACAAATTATTGTATGCCATACACCAGTGATTGCCAACCTTTTCGATGCAATGCATCTTTTAATGTTTAACTTTTCACATCCCTACAAAAACATGTTTGAAGATAAAGGAGTCAAATATAATTTACTCTATGCCTTTAAAGCACATTTCTTTGTTACAGCGGTGCCTTGTTATCTCAAATTGTATTTCCTGATTGAAATGATGACTATGCCCCCCCCAAAACAAGCAAAATGTGTGTCATGTGTTTTTAAATGGGGAAAAAATAGCAATCAAACAATTAACTTGATAAAAACAATGTAAATTCATCATTAAATAGAAGGTATAATATCAGCATACAGACAGGGATGTGCTGGGACATAAATTCATCACTTGCCAACTAATAATCTGTGGGGGGGTTATGGCCGTCATGGATTTAATCGTTGTCATCAATGTTCGGATGGTCGTGATGGCCAGGAGCACCCCGGGAATCCACCGGCTGTTTGAGAAAATTAACATATTTTCCCAAAACTCCCGATGGCCACACCGCCCCTGCATACAGATCTACAGGAAGGAGAAAGTCAGAATTGATCGTGAAGCCACAATAATGTGAGTCACTCCCCGCAGAGGATAAAGAATGTATGCCTGTGTGCTCCATCATTTGTGTGCAATTATCGATGTGAAAATAACAATGCTATTCATTAGCCCATCTATGGTGTCTCCCATTATGTGTTAGGAATAAGCTAGCAGAGTTTAAGTAACTGTTGTCCCCTCCAAAAATTATAGCATTCAGCTTTCATTTCCATGGTGCACACCTTTGAATTAAAATAGACTGAAGTGAATAAGACTTTGAATTTGTTAAACATCTTTGTTTTTCTTTGGCATGCTTCTTTTTTTTTTTTCAAGCTTTTTTCGCAGATATGTGTACGATTTCAGTCAGGAGATTGATTAGGCAAGTCTAAATCCACTTCTTGGCCCTGATGAACTCCTTTGTTGTTCTTGTCATTATCTTGCTACATGATAAAGGATCCCCAAATTTGTTGCATTGCAATAGTTTCTGAAGATTTGCTGTTGCCATCGCATTACAGCCATGAAGTTTAATGAGCCCACCGAGGAAGAATACATGCAATCTCTGATATAACTGTCACCCACTAGGTCCTTTCATTCGCCTAACGTCATCATTTCCATCACTTACCCAAAGGTTAATTTTTGCCTAATCAGTGCATAAATCTCCGTCGCAGACTTTTTAAGGCTTGTCGTCTTGTGAAGCCGATGTACTTTAGTTCATTAAGTCTGCAAACAGTTGCGATACCTTCACTCTTGCCCTCTTGATGTAACCGCCGATGTTACCATAGTTGTCTGAAAATGGCTCGCTCAACTGCTGTTGATTTTGTAGATTCCCATTTAGCCATTGTGAATACATTCGTGGTTTTCTCTCTGCTTGGTCACATGAATTTCATATGTGCTCTGATCATGTCAAGATGGCCCCTTTTAAAACATGCATGACGCTCTCATATGCCTCTTAAATTACCAAAGGGAAGGAAAGTGGAAGCAAAATGTTTCTGAATTATATAACATTGTTCGCATTGCTTTCGAATTTTATGTAAAAATGTATGTGTCAGCTGAGCCTTGGAATGATGTCATAAGGTCTTTGACTGACCCCATGCCAAGTGAGGCAATATGGTACTCAAGTTTTTGGAAAAACTGGAGCCAATATTAATCTTAATATAAGATTAATAATATTAATCTGGACTTGGAAAGATCTGTCAGTCACGACATATGTAATACTTTTGCTTACATAAAAAAAGCTAGGCGCTCAAACAGAAGGAACTATCTTAGCTATGTATTAGATATGTATGTAAAGACTTGGAAATACAAACAAGCAATGTTGATCTCTTGTCTGAAAGTCAGCCTTTGATGGCAAAGCCAAATGTTTTCAGTCAGAAAAAAATTAAGAAATTGCAATTGCTGTTCCAATACTTTTAAAGGGGGTGCCAAAAGAAATGGAACAATTAGGAGACACACCCATTACTTTCTTGTATTTGAACCACTAACCTTAATGTAAAGATAAGTTTAAAAAAAAAAAAAAAAACACTTGCCGCTCGATCTGATGGGTACTGCAAATGATTAACAATCACCAATGAGGTTTGTCAAAAAGTAGGTGGTGCTGTGCTGTTATCATTCTTGAAAAAATAAATAAATAAATAAATAAATAAAAACCAATCAACAGATGAATTATGCAATATTTACGAGTTTCCTTCTCAACCTTGGATTAATCAAGAATAAGATGAGGCTCTTTGCAACACGTATTAAGATGTTGATCTTGTGGAACAATAATTATGATGTAACATTTAAAGACCCCCGCGACCCTAGTGAGGATAAAGCGGTTCAGAAAATGAATGAACATCCTATAGGCTCTTTCTTTGTGTGACGCATTATTTAAATAGTCACTGCACTTCTCAAGGAGATACCTTGAGAGGATGAAAAGAATGGTAAAAAGAATCCTCAAATTGTCATAATGCAGAAAGCAGTGAGACACTAAAGGAAAAAAAACTGATGTCATTCTATTCAATACTCAACAATTTAGAATTAACTTAGAACAACTCTGGACTGTTCACCATTCCTTGTTCACTTACGGGAGATAAAGTGTGAGAGGAATGTTTCTCATCCTCCCAAATGGTGGCCCACTTTAGAGTGCACTCTGAAACGGACTCATCGGCTATCAGCAAAAATAATTTACAGGTTTGTGACAGCAACTCCACAACAGACGCTCATGCAGTGTTCGGGTTTCAGCATGCACTCTATTTGTCGGTGTGTGACGCGTGCGCGCTCGCACACACACGTTCCCATGTGTGTGCCTTCATTGAAAAAGGGGAGACGGGTTATAGAAGAGGACATCTGAGGATGATTACCCCAACTTCTGCTCTCTGAAAAAGGCCAACTTCCTTTCACAGTTTCTGGCCTACTTGCGCCCCCTGCTGCCTGAAGGAGAATACGTATTATTGTATGGAGCTCTGTCAAGAAAAACAGCTGCCAGACTCTCTCAGCAGGTGTAATTACGCTGCCAAGATTTGGTAGAATCTTTTTTTGGGGGGGCGGGAGGGGATTATTTGTCTCTTGACATGTAATGTTTATCAAAACATCATTTAACAACTAGAATTCAAGTCAAAATGGCCGCCGTGGTTCATGTGTGCCGTTTCACTCAAGCACAAGTGAAACATGTTGGCAGGCAAGGCTACGAGACAAATATATATTGGTCTTTTACATTTAAGAAAAGACGGGGGTATGTTCATCTTTAGCTGTGTTATTCAAGAGCATGGAGATTTTTTGCATGGAAGGTGGGCATCTGAAGTATATTCAATTCTGAATCTATGTGACCTTGAAGAGATAAGAAGCCTTATGGATGTATTGATTGTCAATTCTCTACTGACTGACTGAGGCATATTAAATGAGAACCAGTCAAGAGCTTTGGGTAGGATGTGACTGCTGCGTGCCAAGTATCACAAGGCGCGTACTAAGACAATAGAAGAGGATAACTACTGTTTTTATATGCAAGAAGTCCTTCACTTTGAATTTGTGGCAAGTGGCTGCTGAGGCCTGTGTCGTGGTTATTGAGCAGCCTCCAGTGGCAATCCACATGCTATGAAATATTTAAATTCCATAATAGCCACCCACTACAGCTGCTTGTACTTCACCCACCCACGGGCCTTGTGTGTAGCATACAATGTGCGTGTCGATACAGCAGCATGCATAGTTTGAGATACCGGATGTGTGGGAGCTCATTTTGGCAGCGGTTGACAGTACTGCAACGCTTTATATTTGCCTCATCGTAGGGAAAGCTGTTCCAAAAAATGGAGAGGAAGCAAGTGCAGTGTTTTAAATATGACTAAGAAAGGTCGAATGCCATGGTGGTAAACGACTATATACAGTAGTCTAAATGAATTTGACTATGGACCTCGTATGTTTGTTATTGAATGAAAAAAGTATTGTTGAAAGGAAATACCCAGATTTTGTTTTATGTCCCTCCTCCCAAAGGTGGCATAAATTCAGTGGCGCAATGATCGTGTATTTATGAACCAGTTTTTACCAGACCTTAGATGTTCTTGAATCTTCATTTTTTTTTTTTTTTTTTTTTAAATCTAAATAAGACATAATGGACAATTTTGAGTCCCCAATTCAGTGGTATTATTTTGAGCCTAATCAAAGACAATTTGAATGAACTGGATCAAAGACTGTGTGCCCAACGACATGTTCGAGCAAACTTTTCCCAAAGGAGAGCAAGCTGTTTTTAACTGTATGGAGTCGAAGGTGCGGTGGAAGGTGTCCCAATACCTTTGTCAACATTGTGAACCTTTAAGGCCCTTGGTTCTTTCAGGGCTGAGCAGATTTGATCTGGTTTGGAGGCCATAATGAAATGTGCTGTTCATTAAGCCTGTAATTCAATTGTAGGACTGGTGGGGGGCGGGGGGGGGAACGAGATATTGCTCTGGCTTCCATGACAACAGTGCCTGCAAGTCTGAGAAGCTAGTGTTTGGTAGGATTTTGAAACAGATTTGTTGAGCTTATGGGGAAAAAAATGTCATTGTGAAGGGGCGGTTTTTCGCGTGATTGCCTTTGCTCTTTGAAAATCATCTGGGATTTAGGATTTATTTAGTCCTCTACAATTTTGCAGACGAGAAATAAGTCTAATACATTGTCACATCAGAAATACGGTATGTCACTTGTTGCTAATGGAGAATTCACAGAGCTCAATCATAAGCGCCCCGTAGCCTAATGAACATATTACAAATGGCAAAAGGAATTTTAGATGATTTTATTAATAAGCAATTGTTCTGTATTAATATTAATATTAGAAAGCAAAAAAAAGATGACCATCTGGTGCGGGACTGTTTCCCCCTTGCCCCAATATAGAGTCGCCATCATGTGCGTATATCCATTTGGAATTGTAGTTGTTAGTTACCATTTAGTATTTTGTTTATGTTCCGGTCCCCACAATAACACCGTTAAAAGCAGCAAAGATGTTTACACTGTATTTCCTGCTGTCCTTGCCAGGCGATTGAGCGCCCCGCCACAGTCACAGTTGAGTCATATTCTGCCCCGCACCGCCTCATCACGCAGACAAAATGAATGCCGTCGCCCACAAGTGTGTCAGGTAAAAGATGAATGCTCGTGCGGGCATGTGCAGCTTTATTAGACACTATCACGATCTGATCATCACAGCCACAGCCTGGAACACTCTCTGACACAAAGAGTGAGAACAATACAAAAGTGAGATAAGAGATCATCCAGAAACCTTCTTCTGTCAACATTATCTCCCTTGTACGGAGCACAGATCCTTTTCCAGTAAGGGTCAAGGATTCACCATCATAAAACTTGTATGTACAGTACTGTATCTAGTTAAGATTTTCACATTCTTAACTCGTTCGCAAGTGTAAGAATATGTACAAATATAGAAAAATACCCCCCCTTCATGTCAGAGATTTTGAAGTCTCCCGTAAACGACCAAAGTCAGGTTGCTTGGATTGGGTGGTAGCGTAATCATCGTTTGAACCATAGGTTTTGGGTTCGACCCTCACCTTGCCCGTGTTGAGGTATCTTGAGCAAGATACCTTATTGTGTTGCTAAGGTATCATGTCTCCCTGTATACTTCATATTCCGTTAAACGATTACCGTTCGTCCATGGCAGGGGTTCGATGGAGCCTCTGCCATGGAGGTTAAGACACACCCGACTCAACATGTCAATTAGTTATGACACACCCGCTTGGCCATCACTGGCTGCAGATGATCGCATTATATTCCTTGTCCAATCAGTGCTGTGGGAAATTTAGTTCGCTTAGTAGTCAATGTGTGACTGTCGTTATAGTCGTACAATTAAAAAAAAAAGAAAGTATACTTATCTCTTGAAATTTTATTTACTTTTTTCTGTTTTTAATGAATGCATTTTTTTAATATCTTGAATTTGTCAAAAAATATATACCGTATGTATTTATTTTTCACTAAGGGTTCATTGAATGTGCATATTTACTGGTTGGGTTCGGTACCTCTAAGAAGGTTCAGAACCACTGTTGTAATCATTATGTAACTACGGTTTGTTCTTTTTTTCCAATATTTACATGCAGTGCTAAGGTTAAAACGGAGTCATGTTGTTAATATTATTATTTTTTTTTTTTTAATAGAACCTCTCACTTTTTATGCACACTTAGGCCTACTAAGCTTCTGTATGTTAATGTTGCACATTATGGTGGTACTTGGAGACCAAAGTATTTTTTAAGAAGTACTTGGTGTAAAAAAAAAAAAAAAAACTAAATAATAATAATAATTGAGAACCACGGTACAAGCTAACTAAGTGTGTGAAAATACATAAAATCTTGATAACTGCCATCTGTTTGGATTGATCAATAATATATACGGGGGTGGGTGGGAGATACATTTACGAAATTGTTACTCAGGAGGTTTTGGCCTACACCAGCAATATGTCTATATCTGTATCTGGGATTAATACGGTATGTGGTTATGTGCTAACCAGCATCCTCAATTCGTTTCTTTGATATTCCACCTCAGGACAAATAAATGGCCTGATGGCAAAGCAAGCTCCTTGATGACTGTTTGAAATTTTGGTCACAGCAAAAGATGATAAAGCGAGTGCAAGTGTGTGAATGACAGAGAGCTGATGATGTACAAACACCAGCACAGACACAAAGTAAATATAAATTATGCATGCCGTATGAACAAGCAGAACACTTGAGCGTTGTTTTGCCCCTTTTGTCTGCAAGCAGCTGTTAAAGGATTCAGTATAGCGAGTTACAAGCAAAGCAGTCGTGCTGATCTGATAAACAACATACACTCCCCTTCACTTCCCCACCACATACTTGTGTGCCTACTTGACTCGTGTTCAGGGCAGGAAATCAAGTGTCATCAGCCACTCATCTTGCTGTTGCATGTTGCCGTTGAGAAGCCCCGCAGCTCAGGTGCACGTTCTATTTTTGGCAGGTGTTATTCTGCTGCAGGACAAGATAGCAGGATTAAGCCGCATTAGCATTAGCAGATGGTCTTTTCAATATGTGGCATTGACGTGGAGGGCCCAAAAGTGCTTTTTTTTTTTTTCACGCGCTTCCTTGCAGTGCCCCTTTGCATGGCAAGTGTTACTGTGCCATTTTCTATAGGCAGAAATGATGTGTCTTGTATAATGGAAATGAATGTTCAATCTATTGTGCCAAACATGAAAATACTGAAAATTGGAAAAATTAGAGGCAATTTCTTTCCTGAAGATCTCGACTCATCTGAATGGAAGCAAATGTGTGTGATCATAAAATATAATGACAGTAAAAATGTCCAGTGTTTGTATAACTTTATGATAAGGGGTAGAGGCAGGTAAACATTCCCACACACAAAAGTCGTTTGCACCCGTCAACCACAAATTAGGGTTTTGCTTTTTGTAGTCAATGCAGAAGAGTCAGTCAAAACGTTTTCGACGCGATCTCTTTCCTTTTCTTTCTCTTTCCTGGTGTATGACCCGCTGTCTCATCCATCATCTTTTTTTTCCAAGAATGTTCTTGTATTGTTGAGCAAACACTGAAGTCTTTACGGTGTGTGATAAGCAGTACTTTGGTTATTTGGAGTATGGTGACCCAGAGCCTGACCTTCCTCCTGTGTAATATCAAACTGAAACAAAAACCTCCGCAGCAGCAGCCAAGCTTTGTAAATTGCTATGAATCAATGTTCTCTGCTGCCTATTCATAAATCTGTAATTGAGAGATGCACAAAAAAAAAATTTGTGAACATTTCAAAGAGTTTATTTTTTCTCCTCAATGATGCTGCTTTGTGCTAGTATAAGTTTTTTAACTAGTGGAGAGTCTGTGTAAAGAGAAATAGCACTTGTGAAAAAACATGTTCCTTTTGTAGAGTATACTACACATTCTTAAGCAGGCTAGACACATAAAAGTGTTAAAATGTTAACCAATGTAGAAATACAATTAAGCTATGATAATGGGAGGGACCCAACATATGAAGAAGAAAAATAAAAAGAATACAGAGTAGTAATGAAAGACGCTAGGCTAGACTCACTTTTCAGACATCGAGAGGAGATGAAAAAGGGGGAAAAGGGAATGGCTAAAGAATGCGGTAAACCCTACTTAGTCCATCAGCATTGAATTTTAAACAGCTGAATTTGTATTTCAAACACAGAGAGTCTCACTGGATCACTGGTTTGTGATTTTCATCTGCTTTATTTCCAGCTGTGCAGCATTTTGTGATGGTGCCCGTTTCTCAAGGCAGAGGGATGGAAATCTGGTCTCGACTGCTTTTATGAACAGTGAAATGAATCCTTCCCAAAAGTGTCAATCACCAACGCTTTAATTCACAGTCACGTCTGATCTGATACTCTCTACCGTTCCCTTAACTCCCTCAGCCATCTGTCTCAAGAGGGCTCGAGGTGCCAAGATTTGAAGGCTTACAACCTCAACAGCCTCTTAGTGAAACTAACACTGGACTGATACTGGAGGCTCATGTGCCGGACTTTGGATCTGATTCTAGAGTAAAGGCTGGTAAGAACCTATAATCTGTGCAAACAATCCTATAAGGGAAGGGATTTAAGGATGTTATCATAATGTCAACACCAAACCTGACAGCTTTGACTGATTTTGAATCAAACGGAAATGGCAGAAACGTGTCAATGACAGAGAGTCGGGCGTGATTTGCATTTTTTTTTTCCTCAAAATATGCCATCCACTTCAATACCATCATAGGTGCATTGGATAACAATAACATCATAAAAATATTGTTCATACAGGCATCAGACAGCAAATTTGTACGATATTTTCATCAACAGAAAAGGAATGGGGGGCGGGGGATGTGTCATAGCCCAAATGGGCCGAGGCATGGTATTGGTCCACGGGCCGGTGATTGGGTACCTCTCATCTATCTAACTATATGCACCTTTAGCTCACATTTTGAACTTAACTCCATGTCTAAAAAATAATGCCTGTTTTGACCTTTTTTTCATGGTAAGTTACAAACCAAAAAAAAATCTGACATTTTACAAATTAGTGCTTTCATCAAGACATTACGTAGTGCAGGGGTGCCCATTACGTCGATCACGATCGACCGGTAGCTCGCAGACTGGTCCCAAGCCGATCGCGAGGGGTCTAGAGCAGTGTTTTTCAAACTTTTTTGAGCCAACGCACACTTCTTTCATTGAAAAAAATCTCGTGGCACACCATTAGCTGAAAATGTGAAAAAAAACAAGGCTTATTTGAACAAATAACGTGTTTTAATGTTACTAGAACCGTTTTAAACATTGAAGAATGACGTTTTAACAACTTGAATTAGAATCAAATGAAGACAAAGAAAAAAGTATTTTCTCATCTTTCATATTTATTGTTTCACCGTTGTCCTGCATTCATGTGTCACAAATTCGCTTGTCTCTCGTCTAAACACAAGGCAATTGGCTAGCTGTTGCTGCTCCCTAGAGGTATGAGAGGGTACTACACTCACCGGAAGTTGCTAGCGTACAGCTGTCCACAATTGCGGCTTGCGATCAGAGCTGCTGCGAGATAGCTTTTATTGTTATTCTCACTCAGAATTTGTTTCATGTACAATTCACCAAGGCACTGGCAAAGAATGGGACTCCGGAGTACTGGGAGAAGCATTTGAAAACGGTACAGCTCATGAACACACTGCAAAAGGGGCGTCCCATGCCTCCGCATCAGATCTCTGCTCAGGTAGGCAGTGATTTCCTTTTAAACAACTTCATAAACTCTTGTGTTTATTTTTCCGTTTCATTCATTTTTGTTGCAGTTGCTCATCATGGGAGTGCGTGCGTATGCGTGTGTCCGCGGTAACGGGTCAATCGCGGGAGGTTCGTTGATCGAAAAGTAGATCTTCAACTCAAAAAGTTTGGGCACCCCTGACGTAGAGTGTTCAGCTGGAAGCATATTAATAAACTGGTAAATTAAAAAATATATATTTAAAAAATAATAATTTGTGGAGCAAAACTACAGTAAAACATATTCTCTTGTGTCCAATATCTTTTTGAAATCCTCCATTGCGGGATCACTATGCTTTATGTAATTATTATACCAACTGCCCAATGGTGAGTAAACTTTTGTGATTGCTCTCCTGCCTGCATGAAAAGACTTTGGCTGAGGTCTTTATATATATATTTTTTTGAAACGTTTCATTTCCAGATGTACACAGTCTACTGTTTGATTAAATATTCTGTCTGAATTCCACTGTATTATCATAAATGGAGCCATATTTCTTATCAGCAAATGCCAGTCTCCTGCATAAATATTTAGCTCAGAGAGCTGCACCCACAGAGGAATACCAACACTTTGTCAGCAGACCTTCATGCCAAAGGCGAGCAGTCTGTTGCCTGCCACCGAGCAGACCATTGGATTAATAGAAAGCAAATGAAAACGGCATCTGTACACCTGTCTTAAAAGGTGTTTATATGGACTTGTTAAAGGTGCATCATGAATATTCCCCATCTGCGCTGATCTACCTTATCAATGTTTTAGGCAATTACTTTCTTGATCATCTCGACCCGAATGTGTTGAGGCGTTTGAATTTGTTATATCAGAAATAATGGAAAGGTATATTGACATGCAAGTCAAGTTAGGTTTTGTTGTTGTTCTGTGTTTGTGGAGAGGGGGAGCGAGAGAGAGACAGAGACATGGTGGAGTCTACAGGTAATTGTAGACGTTCCAGTGGATGACATACTCAGTTGAGTCACACAGTTTCTATTTGAGCACAGATCACTATGAGAGGAAATATATTTGTCTTTACTGCCAATGCTATGCCAGAATGTATTCTATTGCTTATTTATACATTTGGCAACATGTGCAATACAAAAAAAAATCTAAATCTTGAATGGTCACCAAATCAGGCAAAGCATTATTCCAACAAATGATATTTCAAACATATTAATAGCGAATACACAGTGCTGCTTTGACAGGTGCAGTATTTAGATTAGCAGAGATGAGAAGGAAGTTCCTCCCTCCCACTGAGAAATCAACAGTTGTTTTTTTGGGGGTATTTTGCTTTTTTAAAAGTTTTTATTTTTTTTTAATCCAGTTCTCTCACAGCAGTGAAACAGGAATAACTCAAATCCAACACAGTTTAGCAGAAGGATTTTATCAAGGCTGCCCCTCCTCTTTTCTGAGCACCATCCATCATCCACAGAGATGTGAGCTCCAAACTACGCCAATGGCCTCTGCACACATTCGGACACTCCGATTTAGATTTCTTCAAGATACACTTGTCACATTGCTTCAGAGTGATAGGCATACAAGGAGAAAGAAAAAAAATTATATAAATATATATATATTTGCGTAGGAAATAAAGTCAGGCAAACAAATTTTCACATCAGTAGTGTGACCAACATTCAAATTGACTCAACTCAACTGTATTTATAGAGCACTTTCAAACAGCCGACGCTGCATACAAAGTGCTGTACATGGAGCAACTAACATATATACAACAATAAAGCAATAAATCAGTAACAAAATGGTAGAAGGCACCAAACTGTAAAACTAAGATCACAATCTGAGTCATGCTGAGTCAAATGCCAAAGAATACAAGTGAGTTTTGAGGCGGGGTTTAAAGATGGGCAGCGAGGGGGCTTGCCGAATGTTCAGTGGGAGGTCATTCCAGAGAGAGGGTCC